TGAGCATTTTTGTGGGGGATGGACAGTTTTATTTTTGTGAGGAATTTTCTTTCGTTTAATAATTTATGAGGTGCTGTTCTTGTGTTGCTCACTTTTTGGTTCTGTTTATTTAAATGGGAAGGATAGAAATTAATACTTTAATAACAAAATTTCTATTTACGCTGCTGCATGTGAAACCTGCCTTTAACTGTCTAATAACAAACAGTCTCATAGCTCAGCGGGACTACAGAGTGCTAACAAGCTTTCTATGGCGCTACAAAATATGCTAGATATTTATTACTCTAGAGTTTTCAAAGACAGAAATATCGCCCGATTTCAGAGCTAAATTATCTCTCTTCGACCCCAAATAAACCAGGGCTGACAATACTTGACAAACAAGTGCACATGGCTTCAAAAACGACTTCACACAGTTTTTTCTATAAAGAATAAAGAATGTTCTAGACTAGCAAGTTTTTCTTCAGCTAACGTGACTCGGAGTTACAAAATCTAGATACTCATAGCTTCAAGCTCCGAATTGCTAACATTGCCAAATTTAAAAACTCATACCTCTTCATGTCTATTCAAAGTGCCTTTCCATTGCATTCACCACAATTCCTCATTTGAATAACCACCAATTTACATATCCAGTCATTCAAATCAAACAACTTCACCACAAATTTTTTTTTAATATAATAAACCCAAAAGTACTCGAATCTAAACCCTCAAAATATATATTTGCCCACAAAAAAGTTATACAACAACTTTAATTCATGCATATTAATATTCTGTAGAATATTCAAATTCAATTGAAAATGAAAATGGGAAAAATTACAATTCACGTGTTGCTTGATAAGAGTTTTCTTATTAATTCAACCAAAAAAAGTGCTTAAATTCATTCAATAATTGTCCCATTCATGCGCAATGACTCAAAAAACGCGAAATTGTTGTCTCAAGTGACTTGATCATAATATTTTTTTATGCTCTTCCTCAAATGAATATTTCATTAGCATTAACCTGACAATGACTTTTTTTTTACTAATCTATTTTTATCACTATGCCATTTCACTTCATTAAGCAAGGTGTGCTTTGTTACTCGATGACTTGTAAGGGCTTATAGAAAGAGAGAGGACAAATGAATGAATAGAGAGGATTACAGGCATTGTGAATTGTTACAAATTGATGTTGATAAGAAGAAAATTGTTTCTTTTCAGACAGTAATTATTGTTCTATGGAATTAAAAGTCACAAGTCATTAAAGTATTTGTTTTCTTTTTAATGACGTATGCAACTGATGTCTTAATTGACATGTGAGTCGTGATGATTATAGTAAATTTGATACTAATTTCAGATTGAGGTTTGAGGTTTTTTTTGGGTGTGCTGGGGAAAATTATGTGGTCGAGTAATTAAGTGTGAAGCAATTAAAAATGTTATTATGCCATCAAAAATGCCTCAATTTTTTTAATTGGTTGGTTTTTTGTTTATAGTCAATGTTTTTGAGGCTTGAGTGCGCAATAATCCTTTATTGGATGTAAATTTGACTTTATGTTAGAGATGTCATATAAATTGACATCCAGGTAGGGTATGGTCATTTCATATCGTATCTAAAGCTTAGTTGTTGTTGGTTGTTAATGCTTTATGTCTCTATCTGGTACGGCCACAACATTCTGATGGCACCACGGAACAAAAGTCAAATATTAATTATCTAAAACTTAAATATAAACTGAGATGTGAACCTTATTAAGGTTTAATTTCATTCCTAAGGGGCCGTTCACTTATTACGTTATGCAAAAAAACGACTCTTTTCACCCCCCCCCCCCCTCCCCCCTTGTTACAATATGTTACAACTCACAACCCCCCCACCCTGAACGTTTATAATTTATTTTATTTTGATAAAAAGGTGGAAAATTTTAAAAAATGTTTTTGGTGTGAATTTGTAAACACATTTTTTTCGTGAACTTTTTTTTGAAAGACAGACTACAGTTAGAACGTTACATATTTCTTGACACCCCCCCCCCCCCTTATGTTACATTTTGTTACAATTTTTTAAACCCCCCCTCCCCCCTAAAATGCGAACGTAATAAGTGAACGGTCCCTAATAATTCGAGAAATAACAAGTTGTTCCTACTGAGTCTCAAACCCAGGATTGTTTGTTCATCATTGCAGCTTTTCAATACCAAAATACTAATCTCCTGCGCTATCAATCTTCTCTATCTCAAGACTCCCGCCCAATCCTTATCATATTTCATCCATTGCTTACCAAAAAGATTAAAATTCAGCATGCATCATCCTAACAAATCAAACCATTTCAAGTACATAAAACACCTTTTATAGATATTCATTGATATTGATAATCCATACTAAGAAATATATTACATATAAAAAGAAAATCAAGAGTCTTAAAATCCCTCGAATAATACGTGCTTGATTCTTGTGTACACCTGCAATGACAATACTTTCCCGTCTATCTCGATATGACTTTTATTCTCAAGAGTAAAATAAAACATGGCAATAGAGGACAAGGAAAAGCACTTGAAGATGATAAAAGCTTTGAAGCACCAGTGAGACAAGAAAAAATTCTAATTTATTTCTATCTTCCTTACACTATTGAATGATAAATTTTTTACGTGTCAGTTTGCTTCTTTTCACTTTGTGCCATCCACTGATTGCTTCCATGAAGAGAAGAAGGACGCAATTTTTAGAGATAACATCATCTTAGAAATGTTGCATTAAAAGTGTGATGCGAATAAAAAGTTCAATTAATTTCTGATGCTTTCAATTTGGCTCCTTTTTCGTGGAAGGAAAAAAAATCTTATTAACTTTTTCTTTTTTATTCAATTTATCTGGGGCGAGGATGGTGTGACTTGTTAGCTTATGAAGATGATTGTGAGTTTGAGAAATGTGGTGTCTACTTTTAATAGTTTTTTTTTGGGCATCTTTAGATTTATTGGAAGTGTATTTTTAAGCATTTTTGGGAATCGTGAAATTCAAGCCAGTTTCAACTCGATCTATCTCATTAAAAACATTTCAAATGATCCAATTAAAAAATTGCCTGATTAACAACAAACTAGAACCAACAACACACAAAGATTCCAAAAAATTATTAAAATCAGCCTCTATCCTGCTCAAAATACACAATCTAATTATCGTGAAAAACATTATCAAAATGTCTCTGTTGCATGACTATTTCAATAAAATTTTTATTAAGCTCATATTACGCTAGGGACCGAAATTAAAAGCATTTAATCTGTTTTAATACATAGATTCCAAGGGGATAGGTGAAATGACATTTTTGTGGATGGTGAATTAATGAATATTTTTTTTTTTGGAAAATGAAGAATATTTGAGTTTGAGATGTTGATAGCTTTTGGAACCATCAAAATAGAGGATACAAACTTTCTGGTGACAAACTAATTACTGGGACTAAAACTGACGTCAGGATGCTTGCAAGATGCCCTGAATGTCTATATTTTTCTACTTAGGCTTGTCAAACACATTGCACAATCCACAAAAAGAACTTCAAACATAAATTTTTATTTCTTCTTATTTTTCCATCACTATTGTCAATTCTGTCCATTCAAAAACTTCTTTATTCCTTTTTATCTTTTTTCATCTTTCTTGTCATCATTTCCTTCTTTGATTTCCAAAATGATCGGAAATGTGAATCAGAAAACATTTGTTTTTATCAAAGATGAATTTTCTTCCAAAAACAAAAATTGTTTCTGCTTTTTCTTTTATCTTTGCTATGCTAACGACAGTGCTGTATATTCTTCTTATTGACCCATATCGACCCATTAAGTTGGCAAAAAAAAATATTCAAACCATGGAAACATTGTAATTTACGCAAATAAATAGAAATGTTCGTGTTTTGGAGCTGATGAGAGCTATATGTTTATATCTGATTATGATAATATCGTAAGCCTTAAAAATAGAAACAATTGTGAATGAGCTCTAATTTTAGATATTATTGATTTTTTTGTGGGTATTAAAGGGATTTAAATAAAATTTTGTGCAAATCCAATTTAATTATGATATTCAAGCTATAAATTGAATAATTTTGTGAACTATACACACAGTTCACCTTACAGACCTTCATAAAAATGTAGAATAAATTGATTGCATTTAATTTTATTCACAACCAAGGCTAAACATTCGACAACGTACACAAGACTCATAATAATATTCATATTACATATAATATTTTATTAAAATTAATGCAAAACCGATGTAGTGTACATCCTTATCAGAATAAATTTATTAATATGGTGGCCTTATACCCAACTTATTCGAATTTATTATTTTAATAATTTTTGAGAGGTAGATTGCAGTTAACAATTTATCAATGTGCTATAACAGAAACGGGTGTGAATGGTTTTAAATGGGGCTTGTGAAGGTTCTGAGTCTACCTTCATTCTTCAGTTCTAATCAAAGAGCTATAGGTTGCTAGAGTATATCCTAAAATAAAGCTAGCTCCTAGCTACTATTTGATGCTATCTGCTAATTATAAGTTACTAGCTACCAGCTTCTAGTTACTAGCTACATTATGGCTAAGATAATGAAGAATTGTGACTAAATCTTTTGAAACTAGCAACTAAACAACCAATAACAATCCAAATATTTAAAATTATATTTTTAATAACAAACTCTAGCTTTTATAGCTCTTCCATTTATCATTCCGACATTTTCACTCCATATCTTTCATAGCCGTCAATTATAAAGTCATGATAATGCCATCCAACATAAATATATTTTAAAATGTCACGCGACAATTCACGTCTTTTATTCCTTAAATCGTCACACACCGAGGAAAAAGCACTCAAGTACTAAATGCCGGTGGCGATTCATCATAAAAAGTTTACCAGAACAAAAATTTAATTTTCATGTAAAAAAAGTAATTGTAACCTACATCAACATGATTAAAATGGCATGTCCTTTTTACACACTTTGCTTTTTCTGTCCCTTGACTTTAATTTATTATGACTGTAGTAATAATTTTCTTTTTATATTATTTCCGTATCTTTACAGGCAAAATGTTCAAATCAGCAGAATTGCCATATCTCATAACATTTTTCCAGATGTTCTATAACGATAAACCTGTGGATTGGCTTCTAGATCATTTAATTTCGACAAAAGTTTGTAACTGGGATAAGGATATGGTAAGACTCAACGAAAATATATATAAAAATAAGTTCCATTTTTCACTAACTCATGTTCTCTTCCATTAAATCTCTTTACGTACGGTCGTTTACTTCCGAAAATATATATCACGTAAAACCAACTCGTCTGTCATAAAATTAATAAATAAATAAACAAAAAAATTCAGAAACATTGTAAAACTGAGAAAGCAAAACTTTGGATTCACTACAAGCCGTCGCTGTTTCAGCACATTGGTATGACATCGTCGCTAAAGGGCAAAGTTCAAAAGCTTAAGGATCGACAGTTTGGTAAAATTCCAGCATTCTATCCACACAAAAATAATCCAGCTGCACAAGTACGAACACAAATAATGCCTTACAAATCATATACGTTAAATAAAGCTTATACCGGAGAGTCATTCTTCTGGGGATTGTTGCCTCAGTCGGCCGATTATTTAGAATTTATTTTTAATCAACCAACAGTCATTAAAAAGTAAGATGAGATGATGTCAGAGGTGTAATCAAGAAAACTTCATGTTGAGTAGGTTTAGGGTTATATACTCATTTATTTACTCTAAACAGAAGTTGGGAAGCTGATATAACTGAAAAACAAAAGCTCCTGATTTCTATCTGCTAGTGCTTTCTTTAGTTACATCTACAATAACCCCAAATGACCCAAAAGCAAATCCTGACTACGCCTCTTTATTGTGACACCCAAATGTTCCCCTTACATCCATAAACATATTTGTTTACTTTATTTCCTGCAGATACCTATTTAGAAGCGGAAACCATGAGCATCCGTCAGATAGATTTTATAATACAACAGTTGAAGTTTTACCGGACCAGTTGAGTGAGGAGTCAATTGTGTGGCAACAGTACAATACAACAACTGATGGATATTTAATTATTGGAGGCTTTAATGCATTCGGCATTGCGGAAGGAAACGTTGATAGTCGAATGGGAAAGTTAAGAGAATTGAGACTGCATGTTCATAGCGAGAGTGAGAATTGGGTTATTTTGAGTGAAGTGAGTATATTAATTTAATTTAAATTTCTGGTTTATTCTGAACTTTGAATTACTGTCCATATGTTAGAAACTAAGGATGTCAACATCCATGTTTGAGTTCCCATAACAATCATTTCTATTCTCTCACATATGTCAAAAAAATGTGAACCTCAAACCTCCGGAAAAAAAAATTCAGTCTATGTTACTGATATTTGCTATCATATGCTACATGTCACTCACATGACAATTCAGCATTGCTCGGATCACTACTGCACAGTAGCAGCTTTCTCTGATTACCGTAAAATCGTATAAATATTGTCACGAAATACGCCCTTAAAGATACTTTGATGAAGTCAATATTTGTACAGTGTGTTCAAGTAGATTTATCTACCTGATAAAAATTGTCTATTGACAGAATGAGTGATGTAGCATTGCTACAAGCTTTCGAAATAAAAGCACAGAGGTTGTTTATGGAATAGAGAAAAATGTTTTTCATGCATATTGAAGAGAAAAAATACTTTTTGAAGTAAAAATGAGAATCCTTGAACTGATAACATCGCATAAGCTTAAGGATAAGTTGGAATTGCTGCAGATTTTTACCTACTGAAGCTATTTGAAACTTCTCTCAAGGAGTAATAACTTGAGTGATACAATAAGGAACCAACAGCAGAAGTCTAATTCTGATTAATTTATTAATTGCTTATTAAAATGGTTTTACTGCTTATATTAAGTTTCATTCACCTTACTGCTCAAAACTGTTTGTTTTATATATTAACAGCTTCTGTGTAAGCATCTGCACTTTGTTAATATTAAAGTAACCTCAATTTCAAAGAATGCATCAGACAAAGAAATTCTTAATTGACTTTAAACAAAACAATTTCACGTTCGCATCTCCATTCTCTACATTCCTCATTACCATGAACTTTAACTTTGTAGACGGGACTATTATTATGCAAATTACATCTTAAGATATAATAATCTCCAATATAGCGATTTTAAGCAAAATTACAGACTTTTATTTACCTTCAGATCCTAACAGTTTCAAAAGTTGGTCATTATTTGTGAACTAACCCCATTATAAACCTCAATATCTAGAATGATTCAAGTCTGTGTCTAAGACTCAATTAAATTTCAATTCAAACTTTTTGATTAAAAACTTTTAAAAAAAAAAAAAGAAAAATTTGTCAAAAAAAGAAAAAAGAAAGTTGCAAATTCCAATTTAAACTTCAAATTTTTATAGCTTTTCATTGACAACCACAACTTCTTTTCTTTCACAGATTTTTCTACAGGATGATAAGACTACAAGCTGACAGAATCACTGAGACAAAAGTGCTCTGTCGATATTTTTGCTGGATAAATTAATGCTAATCCTCCAAAGATTGCCACATAGATAAAACTAAAGTCTTATTTTTTGTTATTTTGTTATATTATAATGCGGTAGATCTAGCTGATGCAGAAAAAAAAACATTTTATATAGCAAAGTCATTCGGAGAAGCAGAGTAAATCCATTTTTTATTGCATATGCAACCGTTTAAAGCAGAAACTCACCCATTGATGATTGAGGGGATGAAGCAGCATTATACTATTTAAATAAAGATATTATATACATAATGAATGTCCTTTATAACTTTCATAATTACTTGATATGCAGCATAGTTGTAAGTTGTTTTTTTGATTGTAGATTCAAGTTTTGAACTTTTGATTTGATCTTGAAATTGAGTTGTTTGAACTTAAGAGACCTTACTCTTGCACCTTACGCAACTACACATAGCAAGATACCACTCTATTCTAACAGTACATACAGTATTAAAGATAAACTGGGTCAAAAATACACAGGAAATGTACAAAAGTTCACAAAATAGTTTTTAAATCAAAGTTTGCTAAAATGCAATCACAATCAACTCAACTCGACAGTCATTCCAACAATTTCACTTAAAAATGACAAGCATAACGAAGAAATCAATTAGCTACAATCAAATAAATGTTCAAGTTATACTGGATACAATTAAAAAGATGAAAAAAAAATACTTGCAAAGCACCTTGAAAAAAATAATAAATAATTGTTAAAATGTGTTTTTTTTTTTTTTGAAAACTGTGATAATGAGGAGACATTGATTGATATGTTTGAAGATATTAAAGAAGAATTTTTTGGCACTAAGAATGAGAATATCGAAAAAAAATGTGGAATTAAAATAAAAGAAGAAATCGAGGAATTTTTTTTATATAAGCGAAGTTGAAGCAACAATATCAATAATTGTGGTGGTTCTTAATATACGTGTAAGTAGATGAATTTTTGGTAAGGAAGAAAAGAAAACTCAATAATCATCAAATGCCTACTCCTTTTTAAATTATTATGATAAATTATTATATTTGCTATAAGATGATGATGATGATGAATGTTAGACTAATGAATAACTTGAATAATTCTAGACGTAAATAAATAATCTCCAAGATGTTGTTATTGAGGCCTCTCGTAAATAAGAGATATTAAATATACTTTTTATTGTGTGGCTACATAATTTTTTTTAAAAACGATAGGAATTGTTTAAATCAACTTCAATTTGAATGATAATTATTATTAAATAAATATTGCGAGATGGAATTTTAACCCGAGCGGCACAATTATGGTAATGAGAATCTCAGCTATAAGATACATAGTAATGCAAAATGATGATCATGAAGGTATTTATAAAGAAAGGGGCCGTTCACTTACACGTCGGACATTTAGGGGGGGGGTCTAGGATTTTGTGACAGTTCAAACAATGGAAATTTTTTTCTATAGAATTTTTGTGACAGAGGGGAGGAGGGGGGTCTAAAAATCAATTTTTTTTGATGGACGTCATAAGTGAACGACCCCAAAGCCTAAATTCAATTTTAATACCGAAAAAAAAGTAACCAAACTTTGCTAGTTTTGCTTTTAAAAGCAACCTATTATGTTGTTCGCGCTTGACTTAACTTTTCTACTACTTTCTGATGTACCACTGGTTAATACTCAGGACTAGAGTAACGATTACATGAAGGTTTATTGTGAAAAATCAACCTCTTAAACGGAATTGGAATTGGCTCGATTTTGTGACAAAGAAATCACATGAAAGCACAAACTCAAAGTAGTAAAGTGACTGCTACTCTAAAACTCAATCTAGATGCCTTCATTATTATCATTCACCGCTCGGGTTTGACATAAAAGACATAAGCAAATAATCACCTCAAAAATGCCACTTTATTTGGTAAGAAAACGAATTATTTGTGTTGTTAATTATTATTTTTGTCTGCTTATTTTGTTTCTGTAAACTTTTGAAGAATTTTAACAGCATGTGAAATAATGATCGATTGGAACATCTTCTGTTATAAGCAGTAAATCAAGTGAATCTCAGTTTAATAGAATCGATCATTATGACACTAAAGAGTTTTGGCTATTTTTTAAAACCAAAAAAAATTAATAAATTGAATAATCTTAGTCACGTTTTTAAATTTGTTGCTTAATATCAAGTTAAAATTAAATTTATTAAAATCGGATTTTTTTAAAGAGACTTTTGAAAAGATAATCTTGTTTAAAATCATTCCTTACATCTATTTTTGTCTGTAAATTGAGTCAACTTTTAATTCAGCTTCATATTTTTGGAATTTCAAAATTAGTTCATAAAAATTGTAAAGTAAAAAAAATTGAATTTTGTACCAAATTTAAAGATTTTCAAAATTAAGTTTTTTTTTTATGAAAATTAATAATAATTTAAATGTATTCAATTGATGATCATTTCATGAAAATTTGAAAATTTGAAAGACCTTACTTATGAACAGAGCTTAATCAAAAATAATTGATTTTTTTTTGAATTGGTCAATTTTTCAGCCTCAATTTTAATTTTTTTTAAAAATATTTCATACCACCAAAAAAATCCCAATAAGTATTATATCAATAGTATTACCACCTAATATATCCATTTTAAAACAATTTTTATTTCATAAAATTCAGTATAAATAAACAACATTACTAGCTTCACATAATTCAGTTCATATAATGTAATTTTTAAATCAAATTTTCATGAAATCTTCACTCTTTGATCACATTTGAAATTATAATTTAAAAATTGACGAAAAGAAAAATCGAATTTAAAAAGCAAATTTGAAAACCTTATTGAGAAAAATAATAATATTGAAAAAGTTGTTCTTCTTTAAAATAAAATGAAGTTACTTACGTATAAAAATGTATTATTTCGTAATGATGAAGATAAATTAAATTAAATTATCAGTGAATTGAAATGAAATTTTTGCTACTAGACGAGAACTGAAAATCAAAAAAAAATGTTAAAAAAATAATGGAACGAGATATCAGATGGGGTTGAATTGTTTGGGGACGTGGGATGCAAATAGAAATTTTTGTAAAGCTTACAAAGTTTGCTAAAAAAAAATTATCCGTAAGTGTTTTAAATGGAAAAATCCCCATAAGTGTGAACCTTTTTACCCTACTTATAAAATATCTAATAAGTTTGCTGGGTATTATTATCCGATGGATATTCATCCGAGATAAAAACAAAACGAATGAAATAAAAAAGTGTGAATTTACAGAAATTCAAAATTGTTTTTAATCCTTTTGTGCCTTTTTTTCTATTTTTTCAGGTAATTAATTGTTGGGGTTGTTCATAAATGACGTCTTTCAAAAAATTAGATTTTTAAGCTCACTCGAGTGTTGTCCCTTCTTGGCTAAAATGCTTCAAAACCTCAGAATTCCTTTTGCTTTAAATGAGGGATGTCTGATGTGAATGACCTACTAAATTTTGACACATGATGAAAAATCTATTGTTCTGGGTGAAACTTTACTTTGAAGCAATTTTCTTGGGCTACGCTTATGTATGCACCGAGAAACCTATTCCTTTATTAAACAGTTGCCCATAACCTCTTATAACTTATGTTAAGATTCATTCAATTCAGTTACTATAAATCGCTAAGTTTCGATAAAAGATGATAGTCAATTTCTTTACTATGCCAATAAGCATAGCTTATTTATTCACTTACTTCGATGACCTTACAGATCAATTGTGATCCAACTAAAACTGGCTCTATCGCTGGCTACCGCTTGCCAATTTCCTATACCAAATGCAATACTGTCTCTATGAACAGCCTCTTCCACAGGCCTTCCACGTGCTCTTTTTCCATCCTCAAAGTCCGACTTAAAGACCTTACTTAATGGAGCTTCCACAGGTCTCCTCATAACAACCTTAATAAGCATAGCTGCTTTCACTAAAAAGACGTTGTTTGCAAACAATCCGATCAGCTAATTGTGCCTAACAACAGCTTCAACTTCGTATTTTTATTCTTGTTATGATGATTCTTGTTATCATCGACTGTTTCAATAGATGAGGAATGTTTGTAATAACTTGTAAATCAATGAAATTTTCTACTTGATTACCTGCATTTAATTGGTTCTTCTTTTTCAATTTTTATCTTGTTTCGCAGAAATTCAGTGAACTTGAATGAAATTGATGTAAATTGAGTCAGCGAGTCAGGAAAATTGAGTATTGATGGCTATATTTACTCATTTAAAGTATTGAATTTACTTTAAAAGGCAAAAAATGCAAACCTTTAAAAAGTTTACTCGATGGATGAAATTAAGGACTTTAAAAGCTCAAAGTTCTTAGTAACGAGTTGACTGTGTCCTTGATATTAAAAAAGTTGTTATTCAATTGGACAATTCTTTAATAGACAAAGATTAACTCAACGGAACCATAATGAGCTCAAAAGAACCAGAATCTTCACAAAATGCCATTAATACTTTCCAAATTTCTGTAATCCACAGCATTACAACCATCAAAACTATTCCTACAAATATTTGAGAGAGCTAGACTATCCCATACATAAAAACATAGTTCTAGTAAAACTACATCAGTCTACATTCACTTCAAAGTACACAAACGAGCTACCAAAATGATAAAATCAGTAAAAGGAAGGCGGAAGGTAAACACACTTTATGTACGTTCCTTTTAAAATATTTGACTTTTGCATTAAAAGTTCAAAGCAGTGTTGAAATCTGCCTATACTTCTGCAAAAAGACACTTTCTATATGAAGAATTTATCTTCTGCAGATTTCTGTCTGCATGTAGATTAAAAAAAGTATCTACATGAAGAATCTATCTTCCAAAGAATTCTGTCTTCCACAGATTTCTGTCTGCATGTAGATCAAAAAAAGTGTCTACATGCAGATTCTGTCTTCCAAAGATTTCTGTCTTCCACAGGGTTTGTCTGCATGCAGATTATTATATTTTGATATTTAATAAATATTTTTAAATGAAAAACACATAGGAAGATTTAGAATACAAAATAAAACAACGAAATTAATTTTGCAAATTAATGTGGATTCTTCTTCACTTCCTCTGACAAGTCTCTTTTATAAAAAATGATCAAACATTTACGGGCTTTTAAAATTAATAAAAAGGGTTTTTTCATTTAGATTTTGTCGTTGTCAGAAAAATGCTTAATAATAGCATAAATACACTGAGTTACGCTTTTTATTAAGTATTCGATACGCCAATAAAACGATAGAACTCAGAAAACGTAGAAGGCTACGATGTCTGGTTGCTTCTATCTCAATCAATAAGTTACCTTTTTGAAATAAGTTTCAAAAATGCACTAAAAATGGATATTTTCAGTAACATACACACAATTTATTTTTTTTATTCTACATGTAGACAGAAATCTGTGGAAGACAGAATTCTTTGGAAGACAGAATCTGCGTGTAGACACTTTTTTTGATCTACATGCAGACAGAAATCTGTGGAAGACAGAATTCTTTGGAAGACAGATTCTGCATGTAGACACTTTTTTTAATCTACATGCAGACAGAAATCTGTAGAAGATAAATTCTTCATAAAGATAAAATCTTTTAAAGATTCTGTAGTCTTTGTCTATGGAAGACGTCTGTCATTTCAACACTGGTTCAAAGTATGCAGAAACTGGCAATAAAGAGATTTCCTTTGAAAAAAAAATATATAAAATTTAAATATTTTTTGTGCTGTGTGTTTAGCCAACGTAGCAAATATGTCTTGCCATGCTTCCGAAGCTAATGAAATTAAATGTGTGTGTAGATGGTAAATTTTCCAGAACCCTTTTTTTTCTTGCTCTTCCGAGAAGCACTGAGGCATTTATTGCAAACCTCAATTACTTTTAACCATGCCTGCATTACAGGTTGGAAAAAATTTCTGTGCTGCTCATTTTTGCCTTGCTTAATATTGATTTTACTATGCATATAAGTACACAAAAAATGTCATGCACCACGTAATAGATCCATTTTTGAAAAAGTTTCTGATGACCCGAGCTGCATAAGCAAATGGTTGGCATTTTGAAGGCTTCTGCTTCATTTAACAGTCAAAATTCCATATTGACTTTTATAGCTTAATTACAACTGACCCGAGTAACACACAATTCACATGATTGCCATGCTCTAGTCCTTAAAACATTCAGGGATCAACTTTTTTGACAGCTTCCATCACTCATTCTAGCATATCCCATTCCTCTCACATGTCATTTAACTTCACCACGTTATTAAAATTGTTGATTTATGTAAAATAAAATTATTACGAGTCATAAAATTAACAAAATCAAGTTGAGCTTTCGTGATGAAATTTTTTTAATTAATCTTTTTCGCAGGCATGCTTGTCCTTCAAATTTCTAACATGGAAAATGGTTGTTTGGAAAAGGAAATTTTCTTGATGCTTTGTTATTATAAAATGTTGATTTGCATTTTGAGCGATGAAAGAAATTTTATTGTTGGGCTCGATTTTTTGATTTTTTTTTTTTGTGCTAAATTTAGGTGAGATTTGTTGTTTTATAAGTGGATGGGCTGAAAAGGGGGAAACGTTCAATGAACCCAGTTGTTGTTGTTTTTGTTTTAATTAAAGACTTTCTCTGCCTTTTGACGAGCAACGAACTTTTGAAATTTAAATATCTAATGGTTTTTAAGAATTTAAATGTACAAAACCTACAAAATAATGAACCAATGTTATAAAATCTTTAAAAATTTATTCAATACTTTCTAAACTTATTTCTATTTCAACCATTCACCAAACAAAGAAATAAAAGCTCAACAAATAATCTTAAAGAAATCAAATTCAGTCCTAAAAGCATTATAATATCAAAACTGTCATATCCTTAAACTCTCCCAAAAGGCAACAAATTTGAGTGAATAAAATATCACACATCCTCTAAACCCTTCCAAAATCCTTATTGTCTCAAAACTATCATAGCTTCATAATCTCTAACATTCGGTGTCATACTATCAATTGGTTCCTCAGATGGTATATCATGTCCGTCGGGTATCTCAATATAAAAATTCTGTAACAATGTCGTGCATAAAAGGAAAAGGTTCGTCCTTGCCAAAACTTCACCAATACAACGTCTCTTGCCGAGAGCAAATGGTATGAAATTCTCAGGAACTACGACATTTCCATTTACATCAAGGAAATTCTCGGGATCAAATTTATGCGGATTTTTGAAGTTCTTCGTATCCATTGAGGGTGGCATGAAGGATGATATAATCATTGTATCCTTTGGAATATCAAATCCACACAATTTTGTATCCTTTAGTGCACGATGTGGAACACCGCATGCCATTTTCATGAATGATCTTAAAGATTCATGCACAATCGCCTCGCAATATGGAAGGCTGGAAAATTAAATTCATTAAAAATTGATCGACAAAAAAATTTTTAATTTAAATTCTTACTTGGGACGGTCTGAAAGCTTTGGTAATCTATTCCGTCCAATAACTCGATCGATTTCTTCACGTGCACGTATCTGAACATGTGGATTGCGGGTAAGATATAACATCATGAAATTAGAAGCATTATTTGTTGTTTCACTGCCGGCAATAAACATATCAAGACATATGCCAAGAAGTTGTAATTCGCTAAAAGATTTGTGTGCTTTGCCTGATTCATCTCCAACATGGAGCACCTGTATTTGATGGGAATGTAAAAGATGTATGCGGAATTTTTATCAAACAAGTAAGACTTTTTTCGGTTAAGTGGCTAAAGCGCATTTTGAGGATTCTTTAATAATTTGAGTGAAATATATTGTCATACAGACTATTAAAGCAAGACACAACCCAAAATGTATATTAAGTCACCCTAATATCCAACAAAAAATGCTCTCGTCAATAAATATAAATGCCTTCAAACCTTTAAGTACGCTTCAATAAGATCACGCGGTTCATCTGATGGATTGAAATTCCTTTTGTGCCTTTCAACTTCCTTACGCATAAACGCATGTATATTCTTATGACATCTAACATAATCCTTATAGCCAGAAGCTTCAGGAGCAATGTACTGCAAGAATGGAAAATGAGAAAATAATGCGCCTTTCATATCAATCGACTTCATCAAGTCGCTCAGAATTCCTTGCAAATATCTCATTTCTTGATTATCGACATCATATCGTATTCCAGCCAGGAATTGCCATAATGTATTTAAGATGTACATTGAAAGAATGTTTGGCATATTGACAGTCGCACTCGTTCCACCATGATTTTCAATCAATTTACGAAAATCATTGACACAAAATTCTGCTTCATTTTCACATATTTCAAGCATTCCTTTTCGTGCGAATCCAAATTCTTTCAATTGACGGACGATGAAGCGGTGCTGTGCTTGGAAAAAATCTAAAATATTTTTTTTTTGCTGACTGTTATGCTTGATTTTGTTAATATAAATCATGTTACATACCTTGATCTGTAAAAATAATTCCACGACGTTTATTCCACGTTCTTGTCTCATAAAATGGACCAAATGGACGACCATCGAAATCTGAACATGTGTAAACTTCCTTCAATGCCTTCGTCGTCATCGTAAACACAACAAGATCTTTTCCAATTTTCAGTCCAATAACATCCTTTGTATTTGAGTATCGTTCAGCTATTTTCATCACGGCGCGAATTAAGAATCCAGTCTCTTTTCGAAGTTTAGCGACTGTTAATAAATTCCCGATAATTGGATAGAATATTGGACCGTTGGGAAAATTCTTTGGTTTTCTCATTTCACCAATGAGAAAATGTGTCAGCCATATTGTCACTAAGAGGATGAGGAGGTCGAGTAGCATTATGGGTTTGCTATAAATTGAGAAATTGTGGAATAAAATTAAAATTGGTATTAAGAACATGATAGTAAATTAAGATAAGTAATGAATGTTCACATTGATGTGGCATAAAGCGCATTTTACGAGTTTTAGGTTATAATCATGATTAGGAAGAGATAATAATAATCAATGCCAAATTGCAGCTCATTTGATTGAAAAAAGATCAAAGTAATAGCAAGAATAAGTTAATTGAAGTTGCGTACCCTTTAAAATCCAAAATGGCGTCAGCTTTCGATATTTTAGCAATTGATAAAAAAACAAATTAATGAACTGATGAGCTTAACAGACTGACAGATAAATTGATAGACCATTGAATGGAGTACGTCAGTAAAATATTCAGTAAAACATGCTATGAATTGGCAGACGTTGTCCTATCCAGTTAACTAGCTCAAACACCATCCATAAAAAAACTTGAACAATAAACATTTAATTCCCCTAAAAATATCCGCGCCAAAAAAACTTCAATTCCCATTCCCGGTCCATATTTCATGTGTCTTATTTCCCATTAACCCAAAATATATCCCATTGCAGATCCACAAAAATGCTCAAAACTTCAATCATAAATCTTTCATATTTTATCATCTTACACACAATTTCATAGCTACATGTTTTAATCACATACTTCATAACATGCCCATTTCTCCTACCTCAACTTTGTCACTAGCACCATGACTGCCGCAGACAGTGCAAAAAAAATACAGCCATTCCATTGCAAAAGCATATAAATGTTGTAGAAATGAATATAGGTGAACAAGAGGGAAAGTAATAAAACTGGAAGCGGTAAAACAACAAAATGCGGTAATGCATGCTTATTGCACTTATGCAATAAGGTGCGCGCAGTTCGTTTAGACGCACTTCAATATTTTAATGTTTTACTTACTTCAACATTATTAAGGGAATAACTATTTTGTGTATTTATAGCTAGTACTAAGAAGGTTTAAAATAAACTAAAACTATTTGACTTGGTGTTTTTTTTAAGGTAATTAAATTAATTTTTTCAAAAATTACAACAACAAAGTGCGAAGTTCGTTTAGACGCACTTGAAAAAATTTAAGATTTTAAGCTTCCTGTATTGTATATTGATCTAAATCTTTTTTAATATGGTTCTATCAACAAAAACGAGTAATTAGTGTAAGTTTTAGAATTTTGCATCAAGTTTTTTCAGAGATTTTCCTTCATTAAAGTTATCATGTTTCAATAATTTTGAAAAATTATTTTTACCATGATTTTGTGTTTAATTGTTATTATTTTAACTGATTTACACAGATAATTGTCCATAATATAAGAAAATTAGCAGATATCTAGACTTTCCGTTATTTATAAGGCGAAAATATGTGAAAAATATAATTATGGTGAAAATTTTTCACCACTTTCATACATTAATCAACAAATTTTGACAAAACTGTTGATACCATAACAAATTTGAACAGACCAGATTATTTATCGTATTAAACTTAATCAAAAACAGAAAACTGCATAGTTCTATGACTATTGGAACTAGAAAATTTTATCGAAAAGTCAAGTTGTGGTGAAAAAAATTACACATAGAAAAATTAAATTTCAAAAAAACATTGTTTAAGGCAATTGTTTCATTTTAATTAAGTTAAAAAAGTGTTTCTTTCTAAAAATGTATCAATTAAAAACATCAAATAAAACCTTAGCTAATGTTTTTTTGGAATTTTATTTTTCTATGTGTAATTTTTTTCACCACAACTTGACTTTTCGATAAAATTTTCTAGTTCCAATAGTCATAGAACTATGCAGTTTTCTGTTTTTGATTAAGTTTAATACGATAAATAATCTGGTCTGTTCAAATTTGTTATGGTATCAACAGTTTTGTCAAAATTTGTTGATTAATGTATGAAAGTGGTGAAAAATTTTCACCATAATTATATTTTTCACATATTTTCGCCTTATAAATAACGGAAAGTCTAGATATCTGCTAATTTTCTTATATTATGGACAATTATCTGTGTAAATCAGTTAAAATAATAACAATTAAACACAAAATCATGGTAAAAATAATTTTTCAAAATTATTGAAACATGATAACTTTAATGAAGGAAAATCTCTGAAAAAACTTGATGCAAAATTCTAAAACTTACACTAATTACTCGTTTTTGTTGATAGAACCATATTAAAAAAGATTTAGATCAATATACAATACAGGAAGCTTAAAATCTTAAATTTTTTCAAGTGCGTCTAAACGAACTTCGCACTTTGTTGTTGTAATTTTTGAAAAAATTAATTTAATTACCTTAAAAAAAACACCAAGTCAAATAGTTTTAGTTTATTTTAAACCTTCTTAGTACTAGCTATAAATACACAAAATAGTTATTCCCTTAATAATGTTGAAGTAAGTAAAACATTAAAATATTGAAGTGCGTCTAAACGAACTGCGCGCACCTTATGTGCTGTTGTTGTGTCTCTCTTATGAGGTTTTAGTCAGGTATGGAAAAAAAATATTCTACTATTCCTACTGTTTATTATTGAATTTTTTATATTTTGTTCTGAGGTATAAAGTGGAAATGAAGAAGCTTTGCATGCGTTTGACATGAATTGAATATGATTGGAGGGATGAAGAGTGTTATGAGCTTTCTGTGGGAATTTTTCTATGTTTGGTCTCACTTGAAGGTGAAATTTTAAGTATTTTTGGCTGAGTGTGAATCAATTTGCTTTGTTAAGATGCAAAGTGAACTTAAGTTCGAGTCCTGCTTCATCACTTAAAATAACAAAATTAAGAAATGTTTAGCATCCAAGATTATGATGCCATATCTTCAAAAGCACATCATACATCCTCATACGCACAACATATTCAAATATTCAGCATTCATTGTCTATTTAGATAGCAAACTGCAATTGAACTCTATATGCAAATTTAATTTAATTCTGCATCATTTCACATGTCACATTCTGATGCCATCGATCACCTCTTGAGAGCAAACTACATCAATTTATTCAGCATCACAATTGCATACTACTCATTACGTAAATATATGATTTTTCAATTCAAATTCACTTCTTCTCGTATTTACCTTTTTCTTATGCAAAAATTCAATTTTTTTCTTCTCTCAATGTCACTTTGTGCAGTTCTTCTCCTCTTTATTTATTTATTTATATTCCTTTGTCAAACAATAAACATTTAATTTAATCAGAAAATATCAATCACATCACATCTCACGAGCACGCACGTACAAAATGAATAATCTAATGCAGTTCAGTTTGACAAATAAATTGAATGCATGAGAAATATGCAACTGGAAATTTATAAACTTTCTTCCCACTCTTGCTTTCATTCCTTACGTGCTGTATAATGTCGTATCTCTAATGCTTCTTGGTATGAATGCTTTTAAATAATGGAAATGTGGGGATGTGATTCAGTTTGGGTTTTTAATATCAAAGTTTTAATTTTTGAAAACCGTTAGAAATTGGAATTTTTAAAGCAGTTGAAATTTGAATTTTGGAAAGCTGGTAAAGTTTAAAACCTTTAAACCCCCTTAAAATTTGAATCTTTAAAATCAGTTAAATTTGAGTTATTGACAAAGCTTAGCTTTGATTTTTGAAAGTCATTAAATTTTGAATTTTTGAAAACCATTAGAATTTGAATTTTTGACAACCGTTAGAATTTGAATTTTTGACAACAGTTAAAACATGAATTTTAAAAGGACGATAAAATTTGATTTTTTGAAAATCGTTAAAATTTGAAACTAATAATATCGTTAAAATGCAAATTAATACAAATGCGCCTTGTTTCCACAAAAATAAAGTAAATTCGTCAAACTTCTTTCATTCAATACCCAGTAGAGGAATGCTTTTGCATGAGTTCAAATAAATGAAGAAGAAGAAAAAGTCACTGCGAGATGAAATGAAATGGAAAAATGAGAAGGAAGAAAAATTGAGTCAAAGAAGAAAGAGAAGTTGAGGAAAAAATGAATGAACAGCAATGATGTTTATGTCTCAATTTCTGCTTCTATCCTCCTATTATATGCGACTCAATGAATGAGAAGAAAAAAATATTAAATTATCATCATTTTGTTTGCTGCCTTCCTTAAAGCTCACGCAAAATTTCTCAATAGATGCCATTAATTTAAGATTAAGTTGATCGCGATATAGCAGCAATAAATGAGGATGGGAGTTGCTTTAAAAAATATCATTTGACACATCGTCAACACGTGCGTTATGCTGAAAAATTTATGGATTTATAATCTATACACATTTATGCTCAGATAATCTTAGCAGCAGCACCTTCTTTACTCTGTTGTGAGCTTTATGAAAAATTAAATGAAAAATTATTGATTTATCAAAAAAAAAGAGAAGAAAAACTTTCGACAAAGGCGGATGAAAAAGAAGAAAATTTTCTGGGAAAATTAATGATGAAAAATTTCTGAATAAATTTGTTTTTCAATAACATTTTTCAAAGGCAATGCTGAAGATGTTTCCGTTGAATTATGTCATTTGGCTGTATTAAGCATTTGTATCAATTGACAGTTGAATTTATTATTAATATCAAAAATCACGAGAGTCTCACTCACACCTCAAAGTTGATATGAATTTTTGAATGAAAATGAGTTGGGTCGATTTGACATTCTTTTACATTTTTTAACGGTTGTAAATCTTCAAATTTATAAAAAATGAAACTTTCAAAGGTTTTTTAAATTTTGAATTTATAACGATTTTTAAAAATTCAAATTTTAACGGTTTTCAAAAATTCAAATGTTAACGGTTTTCAAAAATTCATTTTTTATGAAAAAGTTTTTTTTAAGTTTTATTTATGGCAAATTTTACACAACATCTCGACATCTCCTCCAACCCTTTAAAAAATTAAAGGGAGCTTTTACATAAAATCTCAAAATATGTGCTGAAAAATTATTCTTATCTCCTAAATAATCTCATGCAACAAGGAATAAATCAAATCAAATTCTCGTGAAACCCTAATATTTTGAGTTCATAATCCCACCAGACCT